GGTCATGCCCTCCCCCCCCGCCCACGCCCGAGGCCCTCTGACTGCTCCCACCCCACGGCCGGAGCCTTCTCGCCTCCCAGGTGGGGGCGGGTACAAGCCTCTGGGGACCTAGCCCCTACCCGGGCCCTGACCTTAGTAGGACGAACCCCCCTTTCTCACGCTACCTCCCCCTTTCCTCCCGCCAGTCCCATAACCAGATGAATCTCTTCTCAAATCTGGTGATAAATGAGAATGGAGCGATTAGAGGATCGACCGGTTCTGAGCCTGGGTTTTGGGGGAAGGAGCTGGGCAAGGATAAGTTTTGGCCAGAGAAGCCTCCAGGCCTGGAGAGGAAAAGCAGACACATTTCTGGCTGTCAGGTGCTGGGGCTGGGAGAGTCTCAGGGGTCTGCCGGAGTGTGGACACCTCCCCAGGCTTGGTGCAGTCTTATTTCTGAGAGGCATTGAGGGAGGAGGAGGGAGCACGCATGTGGGGTCTGTGGCCAGGAGTGTGAATTTGTGAGTCTGAGCGAATTTGTGTGTGTGTGTGTGTGTGTGTGTGCGCGCGCGCGCGCGCGCGCGCGCGCTCATGCATAGGTGGGGGCCCCTGTGTCTGGGGGCGTCTAGGGGATGTGGGCATGTATATGAGTGTGGGTTTGAGGTCTGGCTCAGACCCCAGAACGGCCCCATCTCATGCTCCTCTTCTCACCACCAACATTTCATTAAACTCATGGGTCTGGGATTCAAGGCCCTTTAGCAACGCTTTTAATAGCACAATGGCCCAGCTGCATTTCCTACCTCTGCTGGCTCCCCATCCTCTCCTTGTCAGTTAATAACAGCTCAGGTTCGCTTCTTTGTGCCAGGCTCAGGTGTAAGCCTTTTACATGTGTAAACTCATTTATCTCTCACACAATCTTATGAAAGAAGTACTAATTATCCCCATTTGACGGTTGAGGAAAGTGAGGCATAGCTAGGAAGTGGAGGATCCAAGACATCTGGGTCCAGTCTACACTAGAAATCACTATCCTCTGTTGCTTCAACTTTTACTCATTCTCTAGGCACTTCTTCCTCCAGGGAGGCTTCCTAGATCAGGTGCTCACAGATTTTATTGATTTCCTGTTCCTGTCACCTGTTCCAGGATTAGGAACCGCTTGTAGGAAACAGAGGCTGGTAGGGCACAGGCCGTTACCAGGGGGCATTCAATCTCCTTAGAGATGGTCACCACACAGAGCCCTGATGAGCCAGGTTGGGGAGCTCACCCAGCACATTCTGAAGCCTCCTCATACCCCCAACTCTTTATACTCTTCCTTAGTTTCCCACTTCACTCCCTGCACCCCAGGCTTTAACCCCATCCCCTCGGCCACACTTAAAGGAGATGACCTCCTATTAGAGAAAGTTTTCATGGAACTAGCCCATTCTTCTCTCCCCAGAGGACCCAGCCCAGCACGGCCTCCCCGCCAATCCCTTCCATGCCTCATCCTGTTCCTGGGACCTGCTCAGGCCTCTGCTGTGTGCCCTGCCCCTGTGGGGTCTCTGGCTGTCAGCTCCAATCTCATCCCTCCTTCCTCCTTGTAAGTAAGACTCTTCAGGTAGTACCAGAAACCTAGTTGGACTTCCTCGCTGCTGGTCACGGGATTCCATTCCGGCTGGAAGGGGAAGGTGGCTCATTGGTTAATTCTCTCCCTAGAGCATGAACCTTCCCTACTCCCCTCCCAGTCCCAGAGCATGAACCTTCCCTACTCCCCTCCCAGTCCCAGGGACTAACTAATCCCCACCCAATGACTTTAAAACAAGCTCTCAAGTAAAGCAGTCTCCGGGGAAGACCTGAACAGAGGGCCAGCCCAGCTTCCCCTCTCCTAGGTTCAGAGTGGTTTATGCATTAGTCTCTGGGATGCGAGTCTCCTCTGCCTGAGCAGGGCAGAGGCAGGCTCCACAGGGCCTGGTGGGTTTTGATGCATACAAAGCATCTCCAGGTTCGTTTCCTCATTCACGCTGACCCATTGCCACAGGTGAAGAAGCCGAGGCAGTCTAGAAAGCCTCTGGACCCTGTCTGCCCCACATCAGAAGTCCAGAAATAACTCCAGCACTTCCTGTCATCAGGCCTCCAGGCTACCTGGTGGGCAACGGCATCCCCTGGGGTCCTGCCTCAGTTTCTCTGCCCCAAACTCTGGCCTGGCTGTGCCCTAACTCCCTCCTCTTGCCCGGTTTCTTCTGTTTCTTCTCTCGCTCCCCACCACACCAGGGGCTGGGCCTGCCCCTAGAGCCTCAGTGACTGGCAGGGCCCCATATGATCCACCACCCTGGCTCCTTGGTCTGGCTTTATCTTTTTCTCAGTTCAGACAGCTCTTTTATGGAAAGGAATACTAGGCAGCTTTATTTTTAAAAGCTTTTTTTTTAAGATGCCTTTCAAATTTTGGATTCAAATTCCTTAAGGAAAAATTTGATTTTTTTTTTTAAAGAAAAATGTAAGTGTGCATCACAAAAGCACGATTTATAATAACTCTCATTAATGCAGTTTACTCTGTGCCAAGTAGAGTTCTAAGCATTTTGCACATTATATATTCATTTAATCCTTGCAACAACCCTGTGAGGTCCTTACTACTATTGTCTCCATTTTAAGATGAGGAAACTGAGGCACAGAAAAGTAAATTGACTTGCCCAGGGTCACAGAGACAAAAAGCAATGGTGCGAACGTCCAAATCCAGGGGTCTGGCTTCAGAGTCTGTGCTCTTAACTGCTGGCTGTGCTCAGAAGAGCCTTCACACATTTAGGAAAGAGCCCCTTCTAAAAATTCACTATCTTGTGCTCTTAGAGATTGACGTTGTCTCTTTGTTAGAGATCTCCATGATTAAAGTCGTTAACCTTAAAAATAAAACTGTCAGTTATTTTACCAGGAAAGATGGGTTTATTTGAGGGTAGCAAAGCTTGCAATTCAGAATAAACAAGCTTCAGCAAACCACAGGCAAGTCCAGAGAACAAAGGAGAAGAATGCTCTTTTATAGAGGAAAGGGGGAATTGGGAGGAGCTGTTATAAACAAAAAGTCCATTGGAGTAACCCGGGAGTTTGAAGTGTAGTGGTGGTCACTGGCTGAGTTGTGACAGCCTCTCATTGGCTGGGCTGTTGCCCCGCAGGGAGAAAACCTTTCTTCTTCCTGCTCCGGCATTGAAGTATCTGCTTCTTCCTGTTGGGAATGCAAGGTAGTCTCTTCCTGTTGGTTATGCAATTCACTGGGAGTGATAGTGGGTGAGAGCTCCCCCTCCTGGCCTCCCTGCTGCTTTTAAATGAGGTTTCCTTTTATTAATTTTCCATTATTCGCATTTAGCTATATAACTCTTTGCTAGAACGACATCCCTTAATAAGTGGAATTTGTTAAAACTGGTTCAGTGTTGTTTCTGTTTAAATGGCAAATGTCAAGGTGACAAGAATTATTAATACCTTGGGGCTCCTGGGTGGCTGAGTTAGCGAGAGGCCGACTTTTGATTTGGGCTCAGGTCATGGATTTCAGGGTCCTGGGATCGAGCACCAAGTTGGGCTCTGCACTCAGCATGGAGTCCGCTTCAGATTCTCTCCCCTTTTCCCTCCCGCTCACTCTTTTTCAAATGAATAAATAAAATCTTTAACAAAACAAACAAAAAATACCTTGGGTCACTGTTTCAGTGAAAAGGATACTTTGTGAGGTTTAAAATATATAAACCTTGTTGGGGAGAAGTACAGGGGGACATTAGATTTCTCTGCAATGTTTCAGTTTATAAAAGGAGAACATAATTTTTATTTGTATAATTAAAAACCAATAAAAAATATGCCTTTATTTAATCAATCAAAAAATGCCTTCTGTGGTAGGCAGCCTCTACCTCCTGGTAATTAGTCTTATATAATACCCTCTCTTTGAGTAACTTGCTTTTTTATTTTTTCTACATTTATTTATTTGAGAGAGAAGGTGCGTACAAGCGAGTGGGGGGGAGGGGCAGAGGAAGAGAATCTCAAGCAGATTCCCCGATTGTGGACCCCACGCGGGGTTCAATCCCATGACCTATGAGATCATGACCTGAGCTGAAATCACAAGTTGGATGCTTAACCAACTAGGCCACCCAGGCGCTCCTTGAGTAACTTGCTTTTAACCAATAGAATATGACAACACTGAGGGGTTATCCCTTCCATGAGTAGGTTGCAGAAACTAATGACCTCTGTCTTGCTAGTACTCTATCACTTTCTTGGCTTGCATGCTTTGATGAAGTGAGTTGCCATGTTGGAAGAACCCACATGGCAAGGAATGGAAAATGACCTCCCTCGAGGAACTGAATGCTCCCAACAAATAAGACCACAGACCCTAGACTGACATCTTGATTGCAGCCTTGTGAGAGATTCCTGACCTACAGAAATCGTGAGATAACAAACGTGTATTATTTTAAGTCCCTAAGTTTTAGGGTAATTTGTTATGCAGCAATAGATGCCTTTCTTTATATAGTGAATTTTTGAGAAACTAATTATTAAGTCATCATACAAACCCATGTAAAAGAAAAGGTCTAGTCTAGATTGGCACAGCAAATATCTGAAGTCATAGACATGCACTATAACCACATCTGTCAGCACCATCTGAGGAGCCTAACTCAAGTCTTTTGCAGTCAGGGCACCCTTCAGGGAGGTGGTGGTTCAAAGGCAGGGTTGAGTAGGAGTGTGGGGGCGGGGAGGGAGAGAGCATATGTATCCCTCACCATCAATGCCTACTGCCCCCCCCAACCTTCAGGCCCAAAGGTGCCTTAGGACAAGGGCAATCCCATACGGGGCTCTCAGGCTGAGGCCAAGTCGCCCCTGTCAGACCAAGAGGCCCCTGAGGAGAAACTTCTTGTCACCCCCATCAGCCACAGCAGGCTGAATTACTCCTCCCCAGTGACTTTCCTCCCGTCTTTCCTCCCGTCTGTCCCCTAGCTCCCAGCCCAGAACTCTGCTCAAAAGGGCAGCTCACACGGTGTGGAAAAGAGGCCACCAGACAATGGGTAGAATAGAAACACAAACTCAAGAAATGTATTTCTCTGCCCCAGTTTATTCACCCTGGCTTGGCCCAGAGGCCAGGTTCATACTCAACATGCAAGGGCTAGACACAAAAGTCCCCAGGACCATTGCTTCAACCTCACTAATATGCCCTTCACCCACCGTCAGGGATAGAACTCTTTAGAGAGAGGAAGAGCACCCCCATTTCGCAAATAGGGAAACTCAGCGTCATGCCACTGCTCACCCATCAGGATCTTGCATCCTCATGGCTCCCAAAAGCAAAGCACAGAGCTTGGCTACCTTAGTCCTTATTTCTCCCCAGAATTCACCCACTCTCCATTTCACAGAGCCTCTGCTGGAGCCAGTCAACCCCCACTGAAAAGACCATGCAGTGACGGAAGGGGTTATGACCCAGCATCCTGAGAGCTTCCAGAGGCTGGGCTGACACTGCCCCCTGCCCACCCTGGAAAGCCGACTATGGCTCCTCTGGGCCTAGACAGCCTGATTTCAGGAAAACAGACCAACCTACTTGAACATCCAGTGTTGCTAAAGCCAGAAAGGGACAGCAAGTAGAGGCACAGAGAAGAAACTGAGATTTTTTTTTTCCCCAGCAGTCTTGGAGTACCTCATCCATTCCTTGCAAGCGTATAAGTGCACATCTGCTTTCATCAGAAGCTTAAATCAATATGGTCTGCAACCGCTCCTTTGCCGTGGAGAAGCATGGTTTGTTTCCAAGTGATGTTTTAGAATTCCCTTTCTCCTATTCTTCACAAGGTTCTGCCACTGTCATCTTCCCCATCCCCATCTCCCATGTGCCCCAAGGCAGAGTTCAAGTGGGACTTTATCTTCTTCTCTGATCCCACCCCCACCATCCCTGCCGCAGTGTCGATCACCAACCCCAGCTCCCCTCCCTCAGACTCATTCTCTACCAGTCGCCCTGGCAAAACTGTAGCCAAAAAGCCATGGCAGGCCAGAGCAGCCACCACACTTCGTCCACAGCAAATCCACCATCAAGGACAACAGCCTTAGCAGAGCGAAGTCTGAGAGGGGTGATGGGGAGAGGGTGGAGAGGTAGCTGGGAAGTCTCAGGGGAATGGATCAGCCACAACCCTCAGATAAATACTGCAGCCAGCCCTCTCTCCGGAGCAATGGGACCCTGGGGAGAGAAGAAGGCTAGGTTGGCAACGGGTAACACAGCGTGTGGATGCCCCACATAAGCAACTGAATATGTATTTGCATATACCTCCTTGTGAGTCTGCCTGCGAACACACACGCTCCTACTACACACTTCCCATGCCTGCACCTGCACACAAAGGCCTGCACACACAAAGACACATTCATATACACCCACTACAAGCCTACACACTCACTCAAACTCACTCATACACACACACAACTTTTGCATATATATCCTCACTCATGCACACATACGCACATTGTTGGATACCTGTTCGTGCACACATATACAAACTTACTCCCTCTCACATACATGCTGTACACACACATATGTGCACACACATAGGCCTGCACCTAAGTTAGCTTGTGTGTACATACAGGTCCATGCCTGGACCCATCTGCCTACATATTAGCACGTACATACTCACGTTTGCTTACCTGCACTCATACCAGCAAATAATCATGTACTTACTTGTGCACAACCACACACATGCCTGCAAATATGGACATACACCCCTGCACCCCTGTGGAGGCACACCCTTAGCCCTGCTCCTGGGGCCCGGATGGGGCTGCCCTCTGTTGGAGACAGCGGATAAGCTCCTTTCGGTTATCCAGGATGGTGTCGAAGCTCTCCTGCAGACGGGTCTGCTGGTCTACCAGCTGCTGCTGCAGGCCCCGGATCCACTGCAGCAGGGCCAGGCGGCGGTACATCACCAAGTGCACGTGGTGCTTCTCCTTTTCCTGCTCTTTGTAGCGCTCCTGAGCCTGCAGCTGCTGCACAGCCTGGGCCACCGAGGGCAGAAGGGCATCTGGAGGGCCCGGGCCTCGAGGGGTCCCACAGGCAGGCTCAGGACTGCTGCTGGGGCTGTCAGTGCTCAGGGAGCTGCTGGCGTAGCCGTTGTCCTCCAGCGGGGAGCACACTGGGCTGGCACCACTCAATTTCTCAAGCTCAGCTCCGGGGATTTCTGCCCCCTCTGGTGGGCTGCGCACCTCCCCCTCGGGGAGCCCAGGGGCCTGGAAGACCTGGTTGTCAGAGGGCAACTCAGAGGAGCTCTGCATCAGGATGGGCTCCACGTGGCCTGGCATCCCATGCCAGTTCTCATTGGCATCTTTGGCACTCGCCATGAAGTTAGAGTTGCTGTCTGGTTGGAGCTCCGGCTGACATACTCCCGGCGGGTCCCCCAGGAACTGGCCGCCCTCAGCCACCCCTGGCTGGATGGCGAACATTTGGTCTGTAAAGGGGAAGCAGAAGAATGAGTTAGAGCAGGACGGGGGTTGGGGGGTGGGCTGGGGTGGTGTCCGAAGTCATGGCAACCCAGCTGCTGGGGCAAGGCCGTCTCAGTCCCTTTCCCTCTGGCAACACCTCCTTTGTGGTTCTCCTCCTCTTTCTCTGTTGACTCAGACTCCTGCATAGGGTTTTCTCAGCCCTCTGAGACAGCTTGTCTTCTCGTTCTATGCATGTCTCCCCAGAGGACCTCATCTTCTGCTGTAGCTTTAAGAACCTTCAGGTGTTGGTGACTCTCAGATGTGTCTCCAGCCCAGATCCAAACGCTGTCCAACTCTGCAACCAACCATAGGCTCCCACTCTCCGTTCAGTCACTTCAGCCAGAAACCTACGAGCAGCCCAGACTCCTCACTCAGCTTCCTCCCCCATCTCACTGGCCACCAAATGCTGACAATTCTTCCTCGTAAAAACCTGTGTGTGTATGGACAGACGGCAACCCTCACTTTCACTTGGTTCAGGTCATTTCTTACCCCGATTACTGACGGCCACAGCCTTCTCACTGATCTCCCTGCCTCCAGTTAAAAAGGTAAACTTGATTTGTCACAGCTCTGGGTGGCCTCTCTAAACTGCTGAACCTCCACATGGCCTACAAGGCTGTGCTTCAGCTGGCCCTTGCTCACCCCTCCGGACTGGCCTCTTCCACCCCAAACTGCTCAGAAATCTCCGAAAATACCATCTTTCACCTCACACAATTCCCCTGGCCTGAGGCGCCTGGGTGGCTCAGTCGTTGGGCGTCTGCCTCTGGCTCAGGTCATGATCCCAGGGTCCTGGGATCGAGTCCCACATCGGGCTCCCTGCTCGGCAGGAAGCCTGCTTCTCCCTCTCCCACTCCCCCTGCTTGTGCTCTTGCTCTCGCTGTTTCTCTTTCTGTCAAATAAATAAAATCTTAAAACAACAATTCCCTGGTCTCTAAGCTCCTCCCTTCTCCACCAGCAAATTCCTTTCCAAACTCAAAACCCAGCTCTCATATCCCCCCTCTCTGAAGCCTTCCTGATATCCTCCCCCAGCACACAGAACTAAGCACCCTTAACTACGCACTTCCCCTGGGTCCCCACTGCTCCGGTACACACTGCTTTGTCTGTATTTGTTCCTTGGCCTTGGAACATAGCTGATGGTCAGTCGATGTCTCTATGTAGCCGTTTTGGGGTTTGTTTTGGTTTTGGACTATCTTGTGATAGCAGCTTGCACATGTGGCTCCCTGACTAACCGCGGAGTTCTTCCGCATATCCTCGTCATACCCCCGGGGCCAGCACGCAGCCTGGCTCTACGCGGGTGTCAGTACACGGTTGCTGCGGGAGTGATGGGGGAGGGGGACTGCAGTGGGCTACCTATGCTCGGGAAGAGGGAGCCAAGAGTAGCAGGAGGCTACTGCAGGCTGCCCAGGGCTGGAAGACCGGGCTTCAGTTCCCCCCTCGGCCCCAGGGAGCGCCCCCTCCCGCCCCGCCCCCCATTGACAAGCCTCTCTTCGGACCTTGCCCTCTTCCCTCTGCGTCTTCTATCTTGTGCCCCGCCCCTAGCTTGCTCCATCCTGAGGCCCCAGAGGGAGGGCATATCACAGCATTCTTTCCTCCCCAATAACCACCTCTTACCAAAATTAGGATTTGAATTGACAAGGGGTTTCTACTGACCGCATAGTGCTAGGATTAGAAAAACAGGCGATCAGTGAGAGTGAGGGATAGTGTAAGTACAGCAAGCACTAAGAGGTTTTTATAGGGGGCAGGGACCCTCCCTACATTCAGTAGTGGGCAAAAGTCCTGGGGGGTGTAGGGACGGTCCCTTAGTGACCTACACGCTCCCATCCCTCTAAGCAGTCTTGGAGATCTTCCCCGGCCCAACTGTTTTCTCTTTCCGAAGCTGGGCGGGGCCACAAGGCAAAGCTCAGACGCGGTGGCTGGGGTCCTAAGGCCCACGGGGTTCTCAGGGATGGTGAAATGGGAACCCAGACACCCCAGGATCAGGCTTCCCCCCAAGCTAATCTGTAGTCGGCCGGGGTCGTGGTTGGGGCGGGTGGGGGCGCTTGTCTCAGTAATGGTGGGGGAGGCGGCCTCCCTTCCTGCCTAGTCCTGCGGGAGGGGACTTCCCCAGGAGACAGAGGATAGAGACCGTCCTTCCCTAAGCTCCCCATAGGAGGCAGCTGGGCGGAGGCTGCGACACCCCACCCCGCCCCCTGGCACCCCCCCACCCCCCGCGCTGGGCCCCTAACCCTCCCCTCCGGGCCCGACTCACGGCCTGGACGCGCCCGGCGCGGCGCGGCTGGCTCTGCTCCGGTAGACCCCGTGGCGGGAACTCGTCCCTCGGGGCTGGCGGGGGAGGGGGCGTGTCCCTCGGCCCGGCCTGGGCAGCCCCACCGGCCGGGCGTGGGGTGCGGGGCTCCCGGACGGCGCGGCCAGCCCCAGGCCTGGGCTCCGGAGGCGGGCGGCGCCAGCGCGGCGGGGCGGGGCGGCCGGGCCCACGTGGGCCGGTTCGGGGTTCCGCCGAGCCAGCGGCCGGTGCAGCCCGAGCGCCCGAGCCGACTCCCCCGCCTCCTGCAGCCTCGACCGACGCCTGCCGGGTCGGGTTTATCTTCTAACTGCATCCACTGGGTCCCTCGGATCGCTTTGCGTCACTGCAGATACTGTGACATTTTCAAAATGAAAATCCGATCATGTCACCAGCCCCTGCTTAAAGCCTTTCAAATGGCTTCCCTCTTGCGGGGTAAATCCTTCAGGCGGCAGCCACAGGGTTCTGAGCCAGCTTCATCCTCTGGCCTCCATCTCTGCAGCTGGGCCTCACGATCCTTTCTGCCATGCGACTTCTGCACACACTGTTCCCTCTACCTGAAATTCTGTTCCCCTTCTCGACTTACTCATATTTCAGCTCTCTTCTCAGATAAACCTTCTCTGACCTCCTAGACCAGGTTCATTTCCCCTTTTGTGTTATCCCAGGGCACTTTGTTCCTTTTCTTCATTGCATCTATCACAATTTGAAATGACATATTCATTTTGTGCTTATTTCATTAAAGTCACTTAATGAAAGCTATGTTTTAAAAGAAGAAAGAAAATCTGCTCTGGGACAGGACTGGGTCTCCTGTCCTGCACCTAGGCCCAGGCACCCTCCTCCCTGCAGGGCAGAGAACCTCTCCATGGTGTCTGTGCAGTGAGCTCTTCTCAGCTTCTACTTACCGAAGCCTGATCCCCCTCACTCCCTTCTTCTTAGGAGGAGATGAGGAGAGTTGGGACTCAGTTTGCAATCAGAGAGAATGGGGTCAGAGTTGGTGCTGACCCTACTGATAAGAAAACACTGGCTGGCGTGAGGGAAGTTAGGGCTTCTTAAATTAAGTTTTTGACTAAGGCAGCCCTAGGAAAGAGACTGGGGCAAATTTAGCCCTCAGGGCACCCACGTGAGATTCTAGGAGGTCCCTTCCATACTCCCTACTTTACCAAGTAAAGCAAGCAACTGGCTACAACCTTTTTCATGTCCTCTCCCATTAAAAACAAAATAAAACTAACAGGGATTCATCTTTGGATCATAATATATTTAAAATACTCTTGTCTTTCCCTCATCTCTTTCTGCTGCTTTTCCCCCCCTCTCCATCTTTTGCTATTTTTTAGACCTCAGCCCCATTTCTACACAGGAGCTGAACCCTAGCTAGTCTTCCTTTTTCTCTTACCCACCTCAAGTTCCCTTTGCCTTTAGCCAGGTGACCAAATGAGGTGACCCAGATCCTCACTCCTAAAGCCACTCTGAGCCTGGGTGGTCTAAAGTTGTGCAGATCTTCCTGTGTCACACAGCTATGTCAGATACTTAGTTGTTCTGTGGACCCAGAGCTGCTCCTCCCCGCCTCTCCTGTGGACCCCATCTCTCCCAGATCTAACCGTGTGGGCCAAAAGGGAGCCTGATGAGTCCAGAGATGGGAACCCCATTCCAGGTGAGTTAGCATCCTTCTCTGGGACTTTCTTTTTTCTTTTTTTTTTTTTTAAGATTTTATTTATTTATTTGACAGAGAGAGACACAGTGAGAGAGGGAACACAAGCAGGGGGAGTAGGAGAGGGAGAAGCAGGCTTCCCGCTGAGCTGGGAGCCCAATGCCGGGCTGGATCCCAGGACCCTGGGATCATGACCTGAGCCGAAGGCAGACGCTTAACGACTGAGCCACCCAGGCACCCCTCTCTGGGACTTTCTGAAATAAAAGGAAGACGAAGCAGGGAAGACATATGGGTAGGGCTGCAGCAATCACATTCCCTGCCAAGTGGAGTCCGTTTGTAGTAGGAGAAAATGATGCTCATGCACGGAAGCAGAGACAAAAGACGGAAGTTCTGGTGATGTTCCAGTCCCTACTTCCTGAGGCCTATTTCTATATCTTCCAATAAGGCCCTTATTTTGCCAAGCCTAACTTGAGTGGAATTTCCTTCACTGGCAATCAAAGAATCCTGATTAATACAAGAGCACAAGGTGGTGACCCAGGGGTCCCTCTCATATACCTCTCAGCCCTCATTAAGGAATAGCAACTCTGTTTCCCCATGGTAGCCATTATCAATCCAGCTTACACAGCGACCTCCTTTGAAATGCAGTGGAATCATCTTAGTGTTCCCTCATTAGAAACATTCCTCCCTAGACGCTGAAACCTGCTGACCTGTAGAGGCTAGAATGGTGGAGACAGGAAGTAAACTCTGGGAGAAAGTCATCAGGTACAATCACATAGCGTGCCACACTTACCTCTGCCACTTCATATGTATTCTGGCCACAGATGACAAAGAATTCTATACTGATTGTTGACTTAGAGCCTCTATTGTACTCTGCAGGGCAGCAGACAGCCTGGCTTAGCTGAGTCATCAGTCGGTCTTTCCTTTGTTCTATTAAGCTAGTTGTTTCTAAATAACATCATCTCTGAGAAGTCAAGTGAATTCCAAGGGCATCAGATTGCAGCCTCTCTTCTCTTAGTCAAGGGTAAAGTTGTGTGGGATGCTCTAGTACTGTATAATTAACCCAGCAAGTGCTCAGACTGTGGTCCTGGGCACTCCATACTTTTCAAAAGCTGGGAGCCTTGAGAACAAAAAGCCCCAGGAAGGCAGGGGCGTCCATGTCTGCATGATCACAGAAAAGCAGATGTACAGAGGTCTGTGATTCATTCACCAGAAGATTCCACAGTCAGGATGCCAAGGAATCAGTCTTTCCAGGTACAGCAGTAAAGTGTCCACCTAGCTACATAGATTTCAGGGACTTAATTGGCAGGGACATAGAAGTCACCAGAGATGGCCAGTAGCAGCCCGGATAGGCTGGGTAGACATCCTGGCAGGCAGACAGATGTCAGAGCCAAGAGAGGCTAGCAGTGAGTAGCCAGATCCAGGCCCTAAGTGCCTAGAGCGTCAGGCAAGGAGACAAGGGAGATGAGAGGTATTTCTACCCCAGGATATAGGACAGGCAAGAGTTCCTCTCCAGGTGGAGAATTTCTCAGTGTCAGTACTCCCAGGAAGAAAGGGGTGGGGGTAGAATCGAGGTGTTTCAACCTCAAAGACTTTGCCCCTTCCTGTCCCTTCACTCACATCCAGCAGAGTGCTCTCCTCATGTCACGTGCTGTGTTGGGGATTCAGAGCAGAATCAGGACTGATGGGGGCCTTGTGTGACTCCCTGTTTAGAAAGGGAAATAGAAAAAAGTGGGTCAAAGGAATGAGTACAAAATAGAGTAAGGAAAGCCTTCACAGGCTTTAAAGGATGAATAGAAGCTCCCCAAGAGAAAGCGGGTGAAGGCCGAAGAGACTCTATGTGGTGTGTATGCTCAGAGTGTGGTCAGGGTGACTGGAGCTTGAGGGGAAATGGAGGTAGGAGATGAGGTTAGAGGGTAAAGTTGGCCCAGTTGTGAAAGGCCTTGACCACCATTCCAAGGAGCCTGAGCCTCATCCTGCAGGCAGCAGGAAAATAACTGAGCAAGCCCCCAAAGCTTTCTTATCAGAACAAAGCACAGGCCTCTAGCTCTGGAGGACAAGCTCTATTGCTACCTGCTTTCTTCTCTTTCCCCGAGCTCATAGCACCTGCCAGCCTCCCCACATGGCTTTGGGAACTTAGGCAAATCAAAGCATTTTAAACTTTTCAGAGTAAATAAAGATATTATGCCTTGAACATGGTTAAATAACATTGTAATTGTGAACATTGTTCCTTGGACTCCCAAGACTAGGTACAGCCCTGGAGGACCTTTGGTGTCCCAGAGAGTCCTGAAGGCAGAGTAGAAGGAAAATCATTCCCCAGAATTAGCTCATCCTGGGAAAGAAGGCCTACAAAGCTGGTGACCTGGTTGTTTTGTTCATCCGTTTCTCTGCTGCCTCTTAAAGGTAAAGCGCCACTCTATTCTATCAAGAAATTGCTGTGCTGGGGCACCTGGGTGGCTCAGTTGGTTAAGCATCTGCCAGGTCATGATCCAGGGGTCCTGGGATCGAGTCCCACATCGGGCTCCCTGCTCAGCGGGGAGCCTGCTTCTCCCTCTCCCTCTGCCTGCCTCTCTGCCTACTTGTGCTCTCTATCTCTCTGTCAAATAAATAAATAAAATCTTTAACAAAAAAAGAAAGAAAGAAAGAAAGAAATTGCTGTGCCATCACTTTAGGTAAAACATGTCCATTCCCTGCCCCCGATATGGCTGTTTTCTCAGCTGTAAAATGAGGGGGGGGGCGGGTACATCAAACAAAAGTTTTAAAACTTTTTTTTTTTTAGCCTTGGAATCTTTTATCTGCCCCCCCCAAACAAAATCTATGTAGTATACCCAGATGGAGATCTTGTCTCCTCCCTGAACCCTCCACCCTGAATGGCTCCTGAGGAGGCTCCCAGGAAGCTTTTAAAGCTTGGATGGGGCATAATTTCAAATGCCCTGCACCATAAGAATATAGGAGACAAATCCCTCCACTCACCATCCCTGCCTCCCCTTCTGAAGGGGGCAAGAAGAAACTGAGGGGGTGTTTTGGAGCTGCTGGGAGAATGAAAGGTAGTATAGACTCTTTCTCTTCAATGCACCCAAGTGGTAAATGGCCTCTTCCAAACCTCTCTTCCACCACGAGACCAGAAAGCCAAATCCAAGGTCCCGGAGGCTGTGGGAAATCCTAGAGCCCACAAGAGAGGGACTGGGCTAGAGAAGCTGATGGGAAGGAGGACTGAGAGAAGGGAGTGCCTGTTCTACCCCCTTCCTAGCAGCTGCCTCTGTGGGCTCCATAATCCCCATGCCCTCTCCGCCACCGCACCCTCTGGCCTCCCACCTCTCCTCCACCCACCCCATTCATCCGTAGGAGGGCGCGGTATCAGCACAGCCTTTCAGGGTCTGACAGGTCCTTTCTGGGTGCCCCCCACATGTAACCACTTAACCCCCGGCACAAAGGGCCTGGCTGAATGGGCTTGGAGCCCGCGGCTCGTGCAGAGGGGGAGGCCTCAATAGGATTTGGGGAGCTGGGTGTATAAACCGCTCTGCTCCAGCAGCCCTC